CCTACATCTCTCTCCTCTCCTTCTGGAATTCCTATAACTCTTATATTTCCTTTCCTCATGGAGTCAGATAGTTCCCGAAGTCTTTCTTCATTCTTTTTCCTTCGTACTTCTCTTTCCTTTTCTGTTTTGGTTCTTTTTATTTCTGTGTCTTCAAGATTACTTATTCGTTCTTCCATTTCATCTATTCTGCTTTCATTGCTTTTCCCAGAGTTCTTTAGTTCCTCCATTAATTCTTTGATCTCCTGCATTTCTCTTACTTCCCTCTTTAGGGACTCAATTTCCTTCTTCTGATCTATCACTTTTTTAATCATGGCAATTTTAAATTCTCTTTCTGGAAGGCTCAGAAGTTCTTCCAAGTTGCTGTCGTTGCAATCTGGGGAGTGGTTTTCTTTTTGTGGTGTGCTTCTTTCCTGAGGAGTTTTTAGGTTGCGTGTGGTTCTTCTACTCCCTACTGTCTGTTTTCTAATTTGTCGTATGCGTTGGGACACTGTGTTGCTCGGACTGACTGACATCTTGGGTGAACTTCTCCGCTCCCCTCTGGCTCTTCCAGGAGCCATCTCTGTCTTCTGGGGGAGCTTTCTGCTGGTTTTAGGCAGTTTTTACTGAAGAAATGTCCCTGTTCTCAAATGGCGAAGCGGGATGCAGTCCCTGCGCCTCCGGTTTCAGGCACACTCTTCTGCGCACCCGGTCTGCCCCGGACGTGGGTGCCTGCTCCCTCTGTGGGCTCAGACTGCTGGTCGGAAGGGGCCTGGCGTGGAATAACTTCCCGGCTGGCCACTGGGTCCTCCAGAAACCTTCTGCCCTTTTCAAGCAGTCTTAAGAAATGTCCTGTTTTATAGGGTGTTAGTGACTTTTTTTTTCCTGGTCGCTAGGTGGCGCCAGAGATCTCTCCTATTGTCCTTGGGGGGCTGTTTTTCGCCTCCCCCCACCCCGTGGGACAGAGAACAGAGCGGGAATGGTAGGGTACACCTCAACAGCTTTGGGGTGCTGTGTCTGCCTTGTGCCCCACCGTCGTGGAGAAACCACGCCCCGAATTTTCGTGCCCTGGGTCTCAGTTCAAAGCCCTCAGGTCCAGGACGCGGGCTGTAGCCCAGTTCAGTGGCGCGGGAATGGCGCCTTTTGCACCGCTCCCGTGCCTGGGCGCCTGGTTCCTGCTCACTCAGGGAGGGACCTTCACCTCCTTGAGGACCTCCGCGCGTCTCCCCACAAGCCTAGGTCGTCTCCCCGCAAGCCTAGGTCGCAGGCGCGGGGACCTGGGCAGCCGCGATCCAGGTCTGCACTTGCTTTTCAAGTGCGGAGCGAGCCGCGTTCCCGCGCCAGCTTACCGGCAGCCCGGGCTGTGTGCGTGTCTCCCGGGGTCTTTGTTCTTCTCTAATGGCGCCCGGAGCCGTTCGCTCACCGCCGCGGCGGATCCTGCAGGGTTCGCCTCAGCTCCCGTTCACGGGGTGTGGTGGCTGCAATAGTCCCTTTCCACTCACAGTCCCGCTTGCTGCGTCGTTTGTTCTTGTGGGCTGTTTTGGTTTGTTGTTTCCTCCTCTCTGCGGGTCGGAGAGTGCCGCCTCTGTGGGCGGGGGAGGGGAGCAGTATATAAATAATATTTTTTAGAAAAGATGAAACAATAACAATTTAAGGAACTTAATGGTTTTAATAGATTTTTAGAAATTGGCTGAGAGACTTGTGTAAAGTGCAAATACATGCTTGAACAAAATGTGATTTCTAGTGATGGACTCAGAATCAAGGATTCTGTGGCACAACTGCCTTTTGTCCAATTCTACACCTCCGTCTCCTTTGTCCCTGTGATAGCTTCCTGACATGCCTTCTTCCTGTGGTGCCCCCACTTGCCAAACTACTTTTTACTCACAGAATCGCAAGAGATCACTCTTTCTTCACTTCTCTCACATCCTTGTCTGTCTCTGGCCTTAACTTTACTTTATGATGCTACCTTTATTTACCTTTTATTTACAAACTACCTAATTCCTCTTCCCTGCTAGACTTGAGTTTCTTTTCTTTTTTTTCAAAGATTTATTTATTTATTTATTTATTTATACAAGCACTGGGTATAGTCAGATGCGCAGGAGGGTGAGAGAATTCACCAGAGCCAGAGTGGGGAACAGAACAGGCAGACTGACGAAATACACTGTTGAGGGGAGCAGCGGGCGTGGCAAGGGATGTCTGCCGAGCCATGTGGGACCCTCACCAGCGGCCTGGGATCAAACCGGTGCTGCAGAGGCTGCGGGCAGCTTCTCAGCCTAGCGCTCAACCGCTGCGCCACCAGGGAGGCCTGACTTGAGTTTCTTGAGGCCAACGGCAATGTCTATTCATTTGGTGTTTCTACTCATAATATGGCGCCAGGTGCTAATAAAAACAGGGTTGTGTGGGGTTACTTTATAGTAATAGTACTTGGGGGAAAGTGTCATTTGGTGGGAAGAATGAGAGCCCAAGAGAAAAGGAATATGATCAGAGTCATCGCAGTGACAAGTGGGGACTGAGGATGAGGGAATAGATGAGCTTGGGGACAACATCCCATTGGAGGACGACCCCACACCAGTTCGGACGGGGCAGGCATTCTAGGAGTTGTGGCCAGAGATATTGGCAGCAGTGTGCGTGGAGGTGGAAGGGTCATGGTTGTCATAGGTGCAGCCGTGGGGAAGACAAAATGAAAGGTGCCATTTCAGGAGAAGGTGGAGGACCCAGGAGATGATGGCCATGTTGGAAAGAGGACAGCATTAGCTGGGAACTGAGAGCTGTGACAATGGGGAAAGGGCAGGGGGAGGGACTAGGAAGCCCTTTGGCAGCAAGTGGCCCTATCAGGCACGAGGCAGGGCTCTTTGGACAGCTGGCATATGAGACTAGTTGTTGGTCCTTCTGTGATTGATGATGAAATTCTGTGTCAGATAATCATTGGGATTTGGGACTGCTGAGAGAACCGAATGGTGGGTTTGGCTTAGCTCGCCAGAGAGTGAGATCGTGTGTGACTGTCATGGTGAACAGATTCGAAGAGCGCATCAGAAATTTACTTTATTCTCTTCTCTCCCCTCATTGCCTGTTCAAACCACTTTGTGGGACTTGGCTTTCTGTCCCTGGATGAAATCTGAGACAGACTTGCTTGCTTCTTGGCTCCGCTCAGATAAAAATTAAAAAAAATACATATCTTTCAACAACTTTTATCAATAAACATGGTCTTGGTTTAGTAAGTATCATATCTGATCTAGGCCAGTATAATAATACATATTTTATTTGTAGAGATAAAGCTTCTCCCTCTCTTGCAGCTCCTGCTTACTATATATGAAGTTGTAGTGGGGAAGAGAGTTATGACAGGCTTCTTTTTCCTGTTTTCCTCCTAAAACATTGCTGCTTCCTCCCTGACTCACCAGGCAGCTCTGACTTCTTCAGAGTAACCTGGGTGATCAAGCGCAGGAAGGTCTTACACTGGGATACCAGGCTGTACTGGTCTCTTGCCATGTTTTTTGTTTTTTTTTTTTTTAAAGATTTATTTATTTGTTTGTTTGGTTGTTTATTTATTTATTTATTCATACATACATACATACATACAAACACTAGTACAGTCAGAAGCGCAGGAGGGTGAGAGAATTCACAAGAGCCAGAGCTGGGAACAGAACAGGCAGACTGACAAATGCACTGCTGAGGGGAGCAGTGGGCGTGGCAGGAGAGGTATGCGTGTGCCATGTGGGACCCTCTTGAGGTGGGGATTGAACTGGCACTGCAGAGGCTGTGGGCAGCTTTGCAACTCAGTGCTCAACAGCTGTGCCACCAGGGGAGGCCCTGGTCTCTTGTCATGTTAATAAAATCCTGATTTACTCTTTTGTGAGCACTCACATGGGATTTTTTTTAGGAGTTTACTTCCCTCCCTCATTTCTTTGACTCTCACCTGTGTTTTCCTTGCCATCAGAAAACACTTCCTCCGGGCCTCCCAGGTGGCTCAGCAGTTGAGTGCTGGGTTGGGAAGCTGCCCACAGCCTCTGCAGTGCTGGTTCGATCCCTGGCTGCCGGGCGAGGGTCCCACATGGAGCACAGACCTCTCCTGCTGCCCGCTGCTCCCCTCAGCAGTGTTCTGCCTGCTCTGCTCCCCGCTCTGGCTCTGGTGAATTCTCTCACCCTCCCGTGTTTCTGACTGTACCCAGTGCTTGTATAAATAAATAAATAAATCTTTAAAAAAAAAAAAAAGAAAGAAAAGAAAACACTTCTTCTGCTTTCACCCCAGTGGCAGCCTGCTGAGATTTGCTTACCTGACTGGGCAGCCTTAATTCAGTTTCAGCTCATGTTGACTCAGCAGTCCGTATGGGGTTGTTGACGTAGAAACACCCTGCAGACTCTAGGAAGTACTTTCGAGTTCTGAGAGGTGGGAGCTAGAAATATGCATGTGGGGTAAACATTGCACAGATGGTGCCTGAAGTCATGAGAGTGGACACGGTTGCCCAGGAAGAGACATAAAACCTCAGGGAGATTCACACTGAAGAGGCAGAGGAAATGGAGGAAATGAGGAAAAGGAACTGCAAAGCAAGGTTCCATAAAGGGTAGACCATAGGGGCCTCCCTGGTGGCACAGCTGGTTGAATGCAGTGCTGTGGAGCTGTCCACAACCTCTGCAGTGTGGATTCGATTCCTGACCAGCCAGGGAGATACCCACATGGCACGGCAGACCTCTCCTGTCTCACCCGCTGCTTCCCTCAGCAGTGCTTTCAGTCAGTCTACCTGTTCTGCTCCCTGCTTTGTCTCTGGTGAATCCTCTCACTCTGCCACGCCTCTGGCCTGTACCCCAGTTCTTATATAAATTTTAAAAAAGGGGGTGACAATAGAGGAGTCAGCAAAACATCTCGTCTACATTGTGTCTCTATTTTACCCAGAATAGGGAGCTTACAATACAAACGTTTTTAATTGTGAAAGTGCTCTAAACTTTTTACCTTATGTTGTGAAAATCGATGTTAATTGCACTTTAAACTTTCTTTGTAGTCAAATTTTAACTCTTTTTTTCCCCCCCAGTTGTGTATGAACACCGATCAAGATTAGAGAAATCATTGCAAAAGGAAAGACTTGAACATAAGAAAGCAAAGGAAGGTTAGTAAATAATGTAATTTGTGTTGATGTTTTTATTGTATTCTTTGATGAGTCATATACTTGCTTTACTATTTGTTTGCAAAGAAATTTTGCAGATTTACCCAAAGTCAGTTTTATAGGTGGGCAGAGAAAGAGAGAGCAAACAATGTGTTCTGCATTTTGTAATAAAATAACTCCTGCTCAAGATTGGATATAGAATCTTCCACATAGTTTGTGCCACATATATTATTTCAATATATTTTGAAATAGCTTTTCATTTGGATATTACACACATATGTTACTAATTCCCGAAACTTTTGTGTGCAGATATGCAGGAATTAACAGTATGCGGTGCCCTGAATAGCCAACTATTATATATATATTCATGTGCACATATATACCCTTATAATAAATTGATCTCATTATATATGGTGTCTTTTAGGTTATGTACTGACTTATTTTTTAAGGCTTTTATTGCCACAGCCAGTTGGTTCAATTTGAAAGATTTGATATTTAGCCCGGGTATTAGGCAATGCATTTGATTTTTATCAGAATTTTTCCATAAAGCATAGATTTTATGTTATCTGCCTTCTTATTTTTATTTATTCATGTTTTGTGCTAAATTTTGACATTTAAATTAGTTGTTCTGCCTGATTACCATGGAGTGGTGTATAAAGGAGGGAGAACAGTTTGGCTTAAGGAAGTTTTGCCTACCCCTGGATTAAGACTGTGGAAGAATAGAGGTTTGACATCATTAAGCTGCTTTGATGGGACTTCGATTTCCTTATCTTCAAATGTAGAGTGATTTTATAGGGCCATCTAGTGGATAATAAAGCTTTAGGCGCATTCAGGTGCTGGATGACTTTAGTACGCCATCTAGTGGATTGCAATAAATCATCTCTGTATTTGGATGTGCCTCATGTTTTCTCCTTAATTTTGGGGAGAGTTAATCATAGTGACATTCTACATGTGCTTTTAATCATTTGGCTATAATGTGATTTTGTTGATGCAAGATATATAACTTTAAGGTAAAAAGGAGATTTACAATACTTTTCAACTTTTTTAAAGCATTAAGAGAGAAAATAAAGTATACGAGTAACCAAGAAGGTTGTTATAAACCTAAAACACTTTTTTGCAAGTCTGAATAAAGTTTGTATTTATTCATAAAGATGTTAAATTATTCCACAATAAACTGATTTAAATTTTCTTTTCTCCATTTTGTATTCCCTAGATTTTCTTGTTTACAAGTTAGAAGCACAAGAAACATTAAATAAAGGAAGGGTAAGTTTTTTTTCTTAATTTTTGTTTCATGAAACTTGAAGTAGAGGAAAATACAGCTACAAGATCTTCTATTCTGTCGATCATTAGAATTGTAGGGCTGAAATACATATTTTTGCCACGAAAAATTTCCAATAAAAGGGGCCTCCCTGGTGGCAGAGCGGTTGAGTGCTTGGTTGCGAAGCTGCCTGCAGCCTCTACAGCGCCGCCGGTTCGATCCCCGGCCACTGGGTGAGGGTCCCATGTGGCGCGCAGACCTCTCCTGCTGCCCCCTGCTCCCCTCAGCAGTGTACTTTGTCAGTCGGCCTGCTCTGCTCTCCGCTCTGACTCTGGTGAATTCTCTCACCCTCCTGTGCTTCTGACTGTACCCAGTGCTTGTATAAATAAATAAATAAATCAGTCTTAAAAATCAAAAAAAATTTTCCAATAAAACACTTTACTCTTTTATTTGTTATTCTCTCTGTAGACTGTAATATTTATTTTGGTTTGTCTTTGCACAACTTTACTGTTACTTGCACAGACAATACTGTGTAGAGTCTAATAGTAGCTGGCTTTTAAAAGCATTTGTGGAATGAATGAGTGAATGAATGATACTGACATTTAAATCATTTTTTTAATGTTTAAATTAACTGGAGAAAAACAAGTCTTTCTCTTATTCTAAGAAAAATATGAGTATTAGTTGAATAAAACATTGACATTTGGGAGTATTAAGAATGAGAAGAGTCAGTTCCTTGAATGGCTAGGAGACTATCAGCCTTCAACGCTTACATGATTTTAAAGCCCACCCCACCCCCAACCAAGCTTGTATGCACACTACTGTGTATTTTACCATATAATTTCCTTATAAGTTAAACAAAATTGTAAAGCAATAAAATGAAGTAATAACACAAAATTATATTTCATTTTATAAGATGTAAAAATGTGAAACAAGAAATGACCACAAGTGTATGTGTCCTGGCTATGGGGCAGAGTAAGATGTGTGGCTTAGGGACAGACCCATACAATGCAAGGAGAGAAACATGTCAGATGGCTTTTTAATTTAATATCTCTTAGTGTTTCTCCCTAGATATTTTCTTTCATCTTAGACTGGAGGCAGTAGGACTACTAGAAAGCTTCTGACTGATTGTGGTGGACCCAGGATTATGGAAATGTGTGAGGTTCATATGTGAAACTATTCCACTCAAAGATATACTTCAGTTATGAAGTTCAGCTATAGATTAGATTCAAGCTTCAGTCCTGACTCTGCTACTGAAGCCAGTGTTTGCCCTTGGCCTGTTCCTAGTTCTTTATCAGTTTTTCACTTTGTAAAATGGAATCTCCTGAGGTAAAGTAATGTGTGTAGAATTTCTTTCCCCTTGAAATTTGGTGAAGGGTATTGTCTTTACTCTTCCCTCCCTTAAGCCATGCTAAGCATGGAGGACCTGCTTCCTGTTGGTTTATCCTCTCTGCCCCCTGAGAGCACCCAACACAATGTATTATCCAAGTGTGGTCAGTGTGTGTCAGGGACAAATTCCTCTCTAAATTCAGCTCTTCCCTGGATAGGAGAGTGGAAGTAAATCAACTCTGCTAGACTTCTGTTTTAGGATTCTATATCTTGCTTTTAATTACCAAAATCTAGCAAATATATGGGAATGTTCAAACTTCATATCTGATATTAAATAAAGAGATGGCTCAAGTGATATCCTGCTTCAAGGATAGAATTCATTTTGGCTTACATAAGTGAAATGGATTGAATGCATTTATTAAGAACTTTAAGCTGAGTTTAACGTAAGAGTCAGATAGGTTATTTTTGTGTTAACTATTTTCTTTTCAATTTACAGCAAGATTCCAATAGTAGATACAGTGCATTGAATGTTCAACATCAGATGCTGAAAGTGAGTAACTTAAGCTTTTTCTTCATGAATGAATTAGAGTATTAAGTATCATAAGTGATTAAGGAAGGTTTACAGAAAACTGATTTGTATTGTGCTATGTTATATTAAAGTCATACTTGAATAGAAATGATGTGTAATTGTAATGTCTCATCATATTTATCACCCAATTTAAAACACATATTTTAGCACATTGCACATTTTCTATAAATCATGCTCTCCGGTCAGCTAATTACTAATTTTGTTCTTCACTTTATTCTCTAAGGCTTTTTATTTGTTTATTTAATTTCTCTCAGTGTTTTTGCTCAGTTATTTTCTTTTAGCTTAGACTCACTGGAGGCAGTAGGTCTACTAGAAAGCTTCCTTCATTTTACTAATATTTATTGTGTCCTTTTGTAGAGGAATTTATATGTAAAAATTTCCCTTCCTATGTTATTAGGTAAAACTCATTACTGTGTTTCAAGATGAGAGAGAGGGAAGGAGGAAGGGAGATTCACTGGTCCGTCAAGTTCAGAGATAAGTGGTGTGTCATTGTGCACAGTAGAAAACTCCTGTGATCTCAACTCCTGTGATCTCAACTCCTGAGATCTCTACCCCTGACCTCCAGTTGTTTATTTGATAGTGTCTGTCTTCTATATCACTCAGGCATTGCTTTTCATTGAAAACAGAATCTTTCCTATTATCAAGAAAGTGAATTAACTGTCCTTAGACATCCTTAGTTATTGGAGAAGTTGGAGGCTGTAGATTTTGTCTAGATGGTGAGTACAACATAATATTATAAATAGGGTCAAGATAAATAGAATCATTTTCTAACCCATTGATTTATTAATTCCCCAAAAGAGAGAAGAATCTTTTCCACTCCTTCTTCTTCATTAAACTTGATTATCAGGAAGAATAAAAACCAAAGAAGGGAAATTGAATTGTTCCTGGGAAAACATTACATTGAAAGAGGAAGTCTAGAATGCCCAGGAAGGCATAAATTTTTCCAGTAGCTTTACCTAGTTTCCACAGTAATGGAAATTTCCTTGGGAATTTTCCCAAATAGCTCCCTTTTCCATCTTTCATGCTAAGTTGTAATTTCTTATTGTTCACATTGATGTTAGAATCTAAGGAGAATGTTATTTTTGGCTATGATCCCAAGCTATTCATTGAATGTAAGTGAAACGGAGAGGAACTGCATGAATTACAAGCAACTTGAGAAAAAGGAAGCTACTTCTTCACTTGTTCCTGCTTTCTTTCAAGAGACAGGCTCCAAATGATAACATTTGGAAACTGTAAATCACCACTCAAGTTTTCATCTTTGTAGAGTCAACACGAGGAGCTGAAGAAACAGCACAGTGATTTGGAAGAAGAACATCGTAAACAAGGAGAAGACTTCAGTAGGACATTTAATGACCATAAGCAGAAATACCTGCAGCTGCAGCAAGAGAAAGAACAAGAACTTTCTAAGTTAAAAGGTATTTGGAAATCTTATTAGCCAGTTTAAATGGGAATATGACCCATAACTATGTTTTAATGGAACAGTAGGCTTTTTATTTTTTGCATAGTGATTGATCTACATTTATCATGTGGTCTGTTATCAGCCACTTATTTCTCTGTAACGCTGAACATTAATTTTTATTTCTTTGGGTTTGTACAGTGAATCAGAATGGAATACTTAAGTGTTTTTCCATGGGCTGCATCAGCCATGTTGGGCAAGACACTTCATTTTTAAGGTGTGTTGGGAGACATTTAGTATCGCTGACCTCTTACTTAAAATGCCATTACTGTCCCCTGTCATTTGGGCATTTTCTCCAGACATTTCTAAAAATCTCCAAGGGGGCAGAAAGACTCCATGCTACTGATTAATAGTAGCTTCAGAAAGCTCCTGCTCTATAGTCACTGTCCTGGTGAACGTTGGCTGTTCTTCAATTACTAGTTTTGTGACCCTGCAGAAATTGATAAATAATGTAATTACTGCAGACTCCATCTATAAAACTGAGATAATCTTACAAATTATCAAGCTTGCTTGCAGGCTTGGTATTGATACCGGAATTGTCAGGCCTAGTCTCCCAGCCGGGATAGGATTTCATGCTGCAGGGCAGCGCTGAGCCCCAGCCGCTAGACCCCCATGGGTTGGTGTCTCACGAAGCCACAGCAGGAACTTCGCAGACGCTCAGGCAAGCAAGCGAGAAGAGGCAGGTTTGTTTAGAAGAAAAAGTTTATTGAGGAGAAAAAGAGCAGAAATAAAGTGGGACTCCCAGGCCAGGGAACCAAGCCTGGGAGGGGCAAGGAAGCCAAAGTGGAGTCGTGTCTTAGGGAATATATACCTTTTTTCCCTCATTATTCTAAAGCTGCCCCAGTCTCTTTGTGATTGGTTAGTTCTCGGCTGTCTCACTTAATTTGCTACTGAGTAGGGGGATCTTCACGTTCCTTATCTAACAGCTTTCTCTTTCCCCATTTGTTGCATCTTTAAATTTATGGCCCAGTCCTCTGGATGGGCATCCCTGCATTGAAGTTAAACAGCTGCCCTTCTAATGTGACCATAAATTAAACCACTCTCCATTTCTCCAATCTCCGCCTCCCTTTACCACCTGAAGGAAACCAGTACCAGCATTAACAATGTTGTCCTTGGTCCTGGCATGTTTGTTTTTCCTAATGGAATGGGTTACTTTCCCTTGCTTGTCCTTATCTCTAAAGCCTCCCTAAATTTTTCAGAGGTCCCCTCCTGCACTATCCTTAAAACTGCCTAATAACCCTAGCTTGCCCTGTCTCAGTATGAGGATTAAATAATTCATGTAAAGCACCTAGAATATTTAGTGGTATGTGGTAAATCTTTAATGAAAAGTAACTGCCATCTACACCAGCACCAGATGTTTTCATAGTAAATGTGAACAGAAACCTGTCATGCTCTGAGTATATGTTACTTCTGGAAAAGGGAAATAGGCATTTTACAATCAACTTTTCAGGTGCTAAGTACATTTGAAAATGAAAATTAGTTTTAAAAGACATACAGTGTTTGTAAAAACAGTTATGAAATCTGAAAAATCTGTAGTCAATTGTATTATACTAAACAATTTCCTGGTTAGGATGCAGTGCATTGCATGTATGTAAGATGTCATGTAGTTCTTCCCCAAGGGCAGGTGGGTTATGGGGACTTTAGATTTCTCTGTACATTTTTTGCAATTTTTTTTTCAAATTAGTGTTTCAAAATAATTGCAGCAAAAAAGGCACATGGGAATTAAGTAACTACCAAGGCAGTTTACAAAGGATGCAGATGGTCTTGGTAGAGGTGGGCCAGATAGGAACAGATGATGCCCAAGGCATGCAGACATGTAGGGGCCTTGGTGTGCTAGTGACGTGGCAGGTGGTGAGGGTCATTGAAGATGACAAACCAGCAAAAGGAAAAAAGTCCTCACAAAGGTCATTTCAGTGAGGAAAGAACCAGGGACTCCAGTGTCATGGCATTGCCGAGCTTGCAGTAGTGATACCTTTGTTTGGTGAAGGAAGAGACATGGGGCCCCTTGAGCTGGGATGAGTAAATATACTAAATCATACCAATTAGTAAATTCATTAACGAATGAGAAATAACATTTTCTATAAATAACATTTTCTGTGCTTGGCATGTTTTACATAATACAGATCATTTGGTTTTAGCAATAGCCTTAGATGGCAGGTATTCTTATGTCTACTCTATATTTTCTTTGAAGTCAATAGATAGCAATTTTTAACAAATTATGCAGAAAAGTGAGAAAAAAGAACGATGGAATATAGGACACATGTATGTAAGTTCTGTGTTCTGAGGAAATTCAAGCCTCATAATCTGGTCTAAACTTCTTGGCACTGGGCCTTCCTGGTGGCACAGGGTTAAATTCTTAGTGCTATCAAGCTATCGCCAGCCACTGCAGCACCGAGTTGGATTGTTGGATCCCTGGCCAGGTTGCTGACCCACAAGGCGCAGCAGACCTTTCTGTCTTGCCTGCTGCTCCTCCCAGCAGTGTATTTCAGTCAGTCTGCCTGTTCTGCTCCCCACTCTGACTCTGGTGAATCCTCTCAGCCCCCACACCTCTGGCCTATACCCCAGTTCTTGTGTGCATAAATGAATAAAATAAATCTTTAAAAAATAAAAAAATGAAATTCTTGGTATCCTGGATAAAAGGAGAAATATAGTTTAGTATAGAGTGCTTGTCATCAGAAAGAGAATATACTGATACCTTGGGGTGCAGGAAGAGGCAACAAATACAAAAGAATAAGAAAGAAATAATAAAAGAGAGAAGAGTGAGAGAGAGGGAGAGACTCTATTATAAAAATAACCTATATATAGTATTGGTGTTACAAATTAGTTTTTGGAAGAAATTTCTTAAGAGACCTTAATTAGCAGAGTGTGACAATGCCTTTGATACTTTGCTAAGTAATTTTCATGTCAACACTTTAGTTTGAGTGATCTTTGATAAAGACAACAAACTGATGAACCAAATTTTTTGGGCTGTCCAGATGAATCCATGCCACATACCCAAACTTTGTAATTTTTCGTGAGTTGGTATCCTGTCAAAGTTTAAAACAAATCCTAAAACAATTTGAGACTTTAGATGTGAGAATAATAAAATAAAACCTGAAAATCTAACGTTTTTATGTGGAATTTTTTTTTTTAATAGAAACTGTGTACAATTTGAGGGAAGAGAATAGACAACTAAGGAAAGCACATCAAGACATACATACACAGCTTCAAGATGTCAAGGTAAAATAAAACCAAACATTTTCCTTTCTATTATTGTCTGCTTTATCTTATAGAATGACTAAAAATCATTCCCTGATTGGCCATCATTTTTGGCTTTGCTTAAATTAGAGTGTACATAATATTTTTACCAAGATGAGTAAATTAGATGCTTAAACTAGAGTGTATATAAGATTTTTACCAAGACCAAAGATGGTCTGAAAATCCAAATATTTTTATTAGTATTGAAATGATTCATTTACCAGATAGTTGCATTTTAATAAGCTTTTTATTTTAAAAGACTTATTATTGAAGTATTTGTTCCTTTAACTTTGATTTCACTGTAATGATAGTATGTGGGTAGCACATTTTAGATTTTAGAATACTACATTAATCATAGCCTTCTTGCTACAATGATTTTTAATCTTAACAAATGCTGCAGCAACAAACAAGCAAACAGAGTGTTGGATGGTTATACCACTGTCAGCCAAAGAAGATTTTATGTTAGAATGTTAAAACTCAACATGTAAAATTCTTTTTTGTGTAGCAACAGCATAAGAATTTACTCTCGGAGCATGAACAACTTGTAGTGACTTTGGAAGACCACAAGAGTGCACTAGCTGCTGCACAGGTTAGAAGGGTAGCAGCCTCTGCTGGTTCTTTTTAGTCTGCTTAACATTTCTGAATTCCTTTATGCATGTAGTCTCTTACAAGTCAATCTTCAGTGAGCGTCTTAGGACAGAGCTATCCTCATTCTGAGAACTGTGCATGCTTTCAAAATTCAATCAAGAGAACTTTAAATAGACCATTGATTATTTTGCACTGGTAGTATGATGCACATGACTCTTTCTACCCTGCACTAGTCCCTATGTGCAGAAGTCTAATACTTGTTTTAAATCACAGAAATCTCACCTACATGGGCTTTTGCTGCTATAGCGTTTGTGTTGATTCTTGTGACAGGAAATACAGGATTTTATGATGCGAGCTACAAAATAAGTTATTGTCAGGTTTTTACTTCTGTCATTCCCTCACTTGCTCCCCGAATTCTAGTATGCATACACTCTTCTGAGAACTAGACTTAAGTGTTGTTGGTCAAATTAAAGAAAATAAGAAGCGAGCTCTCATACCACTGGAGAAGTATAAAGAGGAATCATAAGCTCTATCTGTTCAAAGTCTGGAATAGTCCCGGGCATATGGCGGGCCTTAGTGAATATTTACTGAATGAAGAAACAAGCAGATGCAAGTGTGGGAGACCTTATTGAAGTAATACTATACTCTACATTTTGCAATTTTTATAAAAGGAAAAACATTGGGATGGCTAACTTATTCACCATGTGTTTTTGTCACTAGATTTTCACTCCTCTTGGCAGAATTAGGAATAAAAAAACTACCTGTACTTATCAGGAGACTATGAACTATTTTTTGTCTTTCTAAAATTATTAAAAGTACAATATGATAGGCCTTGTTGCATTCCAGAAACTTTGGCATCTATGTCTGTGGGATCCCTTTTTAAGTAGTCATCGGTTTGGTATCTCCCTATGAAACGTTAGCTGCATGGTTATTTTTATATGAGTATGAATTAAATTTACTTTAGAGGAGATTATTTCATTATAAACCTTTTTATAAAATATTTTTCAAGTATTTTGCTTACATATATTATTTTATATGGTGTTTTTCATACTGAAATATAAACTGATTGTTATATGTAATACATGTAGTATATGCAGTACATGTAGTTATATGTATGTAGTACAATGTTCATAAATATTAAACTAAGCAACAATCCAAGAATCCAGAGAAGTATAAGTAAAATAGTTCACTTAATGATCCAAATAAAATTCCATACTAGGCCTACTGGTAGAATATAGCATAGGAAACATTTTTATTTAACCTATGTATAATTTCTGTGTCTGAAATACCCTTTTGGCTTCCTGTTTGTCCTACCTGTTTTCCCCTTTTTTGATAGTTACCAGAAGTAGATGTGATAATTTAATGATAGCTCACTGCTGACCCCCATGTTAAAAATGTCCTGAATCTCCTTGTTATTTCAAGCATCCAGCTTTCGCATACAAATCATCTGATGAAATTCAGTGTTCACAACCTGATTTTGAACTGTTTTGGGGGGGGGGCAAAACTAGAATAGAATCTGAGTATTTATAGTTTCCCAGGGGTCATTTTAAGGACTTTATGTAAAGAACTTTTATTTTTTGGTGTTTACAACCTTCTGAGCCATATGGCATTGCACCCTTTTAGAACTAAAAAGTGAGAGGTCAAAGGAAAATAAAGCAGCTGACCCAAGATCTGTGACCAGAACTGAGCTTGAAGTTTAGTTCTTCCTCACATCAAAGTCACACTTAACTTTTAAGCCTGTGTTTTTTTTTGAGACTTCCCTGAATTACAGTTACCTGATTCTTGCTTCATGCCTACTGAGTCAGAATTTCTAGAGTGTGGGTGCCACATTTTTAACGTGATCTGCTCATGTCTCTATGCACACTAATATTTGAAAACCACAAACCATAGCATTGCTACCTTTAAAGATGATATAGTTAGGAGGCTGAAAAAGAAAGTCTAGAATTGACATTGTGTATCCTCCATGTTTTAAAATATTAAAGTCATTAATATGTGGATGTAATTTTCTTTTTAACCTCCAAATTTGGTTTGCAAAATGTTTTGGTCAATTTCTGGGATAAGGATCACTATTAGCCACCATGATACACCTTTGTACAAATTACAAATAAGCACTCTGCTCAAACAGATTCAGCAAGCAGACTTCTTCAACTTTGTGTGAATTAGAAAAAGGCAAAAAAGACGCCTCTTCCTTGGGGGTGTAAGTCACCATGCAGGGTGTGTGGCTGTTGTGATGGGAGCGCCTGCTGAGGTCTACCCTCTCCTGCCCTCTCTGCCATGTGACTGAGGAAGGTGGGCTTATGTGGAAAACATGTTCAGAAAAGATGTTGTATTCTTTGTATGTGTTTATGTAAGATGATGTATTCTTTGTATGTGTTTATGTAAGTGTGTGCTTACACACAGCATTTCTGTTCAATGATAACATGATAATGAACTAAGCACATACTGTGTCTATTGATTCTTAGTTAACATATTTGAATTTCTTTCCGCTTTCAAGTTCCTTAATTAAAAATATCACGTGCACAAACACATACACAGAGACACACACTCCGCTATACACAAATACCCCTATGTGAGTATATTTGAGACCTGTAACTATGTTAGCACCTTTATCACATTAGAAGAAAGGAACATTCCAAATTCGGAAATAAAAATCTAGTCTCATTTCATCATCTACTGTTGCTTTCCAAATCTGCAGAGCATAATATATCAATACCTGGGGCACTCTAGAAAGTAAAGGTCCCTCCTTGAGCACAAGTTTACTGGGAAAAGGGAGTGGCCTGAGTTATATAATACATACATATATATATATATATATATATATATATATAGTATACACAGTATCTATCAATATGTGTTATTTTAAACTTATGATTCCTTTCAATTGAAAAATGTTACTTGGACCATGTTGGCAAAAAGATATTTGTACTTCTATTTGTATTATTGTGTGTATTTTTAATAGATTTTTGATGCTATTAACTTGATTGCATAGCTTTCTTAAAATTTTAATATTGACATTTATAGTAGAAAGTTATTTATGGAAATTCTGACTTTGTTTAATGTAGCATGAGAAACTAACATCTGTTCCTTTTAATTCTACTTTGCATGAGCTTAAAATGGCTAAGCATGTCCAAGTTAAAAAAAAAAAACAACAAACTATAGCATGGTAACAATCTGCATATTTTCACTAACTTGTATTTAAGTGTTATATTTTTGTCTACTGTTCTAGTAATCCCTAATGCCCATTTATGAATGATATCTTTTTCCTTCTTCAAATTGTGCAATTTGCATCTGGTGGTACGATTAATATGCAGACTCAAGTTGCAGAATATAAACAACTGAAAGATACTCTGAATAAGATTCCAAGCTTTCGGAGACCAGATCAAGCAGAGCAGCAGAATGTTACCCAGCTGGCACATTCTCCACAAGGTGACAGCGCAGTCCAGGAGAAGCCACCCCGAGAGCCACAAGAGGTAAGCAGCATGAACCAACGGTCTGTGGTCAGGTCACTATGCCTGTCAAGCTGTCATTAGGTGAACTGCTCTAAATGTTGCCAACTCGCCCTGTAGAACAATGGTTCTTAAATTTAAGTGTATATCAAAGTCTCCAGCAGGGCCGTAAATACAGATTATTGGGCCCCAGTCTTGAGATTTCTATTCAGTTAATTTGGAGTGAGACCTGAGATTTTGCATTTTAAACTGAATCAGCTAGTCTGGGGAGCACACTTTAAGAACTGCTATAGTATTTTCTGTGAAAGGCTATCTTCATTCATGTGGATTTATTTGTTTAAAGAGGCTACAGTCAGAAAGGACCTATTACGTCAGGGTTTTTTTTTTTTTTAATTTTTTTAAACCTTTTTTTTTTTAAAGATTTTATTTAGGGCCTCCCCTGGTGGCGCAGTGGTTGAGCGCTGGGTTGCGAGGCTGCCCACAGCCTCTGCAGTGCCGGTTCGATCCCTGGCCACCGGGCGAGGGTCCCACATGGCGCGCAGACCTCTCCTGCCGCCCGCTGCTCCCCTCAGCAGTGTACTTCTGTCCTTCTGCCTGCTCTGCTCCCCGCTCTGGCTCTGGTGAATTCTCTCACCCTCCTGTGCTTCTGACTGTACCCAGTGCTTGTATAAATAAATAAATAAATCTTAAAAAAAAAAAAAAAGATTTTATTTATTTATTTATACAAGAACTGGGGTACAGGCCAGATTCGTGGGAGGGTGAGAGGATTCACAAGAGACAGATAGGGGAACAGAACAGGCAGACTGATGAAAAACACACGGCTGAGGAGAGCAGCGGGCGAGACAGGAGAGGTCCACCGCACCACGTGGGACCCTTGCTGGCCGGCCGGGATGGAACCAACGCTGTAGAGGCTGCGGACAGCTTCACAGCGCTGCACTCAACCGCCTGTGCCACCAGGGGAGGCCCAATTATGTCTGAATTTTAAAGGGTTGTTTTGTTTTTCTTTTGGGGGTACAGTGAGAAGGTTGATAATCAGGAGGATATTTTGTGAAACCAGCCCACTCAAGGAATAAAGTTGATAATATATTTGAACTTGATACAGTGCTTTAAAAGGCCTTAATGAAATTACCGAGGTTATGAGTACCATATTATAATGTACTTTTTTTGTATTCTCTCCTTCCTGAAAATTAAACATGCTTAAGATATCTCCTTAGTGGAACATTAAAACTAGTGTCACCCATATCATTAATTCTTACAAGACTGTTTTTGCAATCATGTGTAATAGAAATTGCAAGTATGGTTATCTTACTCTCTGACAAAATTGTTTCAAATAGTGATATTTAAACTTGCCCTGAGTTTCCATTTTAGGGGAATAATTAAGTTGGCCTGAGTGGACTTCTAATGAGTCCTCCTTCAGTGCATAACATTCCTTCATTGACAGATTTTGTGTCATCATAGACTCTGGGTCCTGCAATATCACTAAGAACACACAACCAGACCAGATTCATGGCCTGGTAATTGGTCCTGTTCTCTCTCCTAGTTTGGCTGCCTGTTCTTTGGATTAATCTTTTGATGACTCAGCATGGCAGGTTTTCCACCTGTGAAGTAGAGATAACAGTTAACTGCTCTAAACTTTTATAGAGGGATGCTGTGGATATAAATGACAGGTGTTTGAAAATTCTCAGGGCTCTTCAATGAAATATTGATTTCATACAAAGTCAGAGCAGTCAAACTTGCCAGCTATGCAACAACATTGCTAAAATGTGCCCATCCAAATGTTATGATGTCTGATAAAGGACTTAACCATCCTAGTTTACTTATTTATACAACTCCAGTTTTCAGTTATGTTTGTGTTATTTTTTTTTTCACATTTATCTATTCACATTAATTTCAGTTATGGGGGGACAATCTGAGCAAAGAAGTTATTTTTTTTCTGATATAGAGGATTGGGAGTGAGGGGAAAAGGGGGTGGCAAATTTTCCTATTGATATTATATCATCTCTTTTTCCCTCTTTTATGATAAGTGAAGATCATATATAATGGCCATCTTATCAAAATCAATTTACAGATTTAATGCAGTGCCTGTCACAATACCAATGACTTTTTTTAAAAAAGAAATAGAACAAAAATTATCAAATTTATTTGCAAGCACAGAAGGCCCAAATAGCTAACAGAATCTTAAAAAAAGAAAAATGGAGACATCACATCTTCTGACTTGAAACTATATTACACAGCAACAGTAATGAAAACATTATGGTACTGGAAGAAAAACAGCAGCTTAGACCAATGGACACAATTGAAAGCCCAGAGATAAGTCCATGTAGATATGGACAGCTGATTTTTAAAAAAAAAATTTTAAACTTTTTTTTTAAAGATTTATTTATTTATGCAAACAAGAGCTGGGGCACAGGCCAGAGGTGAGGGGGGTAAGAGGATTCACCAGAGACAGAGTGGGGAACAGAACAGGCAGACTGACCGAAGTACACTGCTGAGGGGAGCAGTGGGTGAGTCAGGAGAGGTCTGCTGTGCCATGTGGGTAGCCCCCTGGCTAGCTGGGGATCGAACTCATGCTGCAGAGGCTGCGGACAGCTTCATAGGTTGCATCTTAACCCCTTATGCCACCAGGGAGGCCCCCCTGGACAGCAGATTTTTAACAAAGAAATTAAGACCTCACTGTGGAGAAAAGACAGCCTTTTTAATAAACGGTGCTGTGAATCATGGATAGCCACATGCAAAAAAAAAAAAAAATGAAAAAAGAAAGATTCATATTAACACCTTACAGGAAAAACTCACTCAAAATTGATTAAAGATGTGCACAAAAGAACCAAAGCCAAAAGCATTTAAAAGAAAATATAGGGGTTACACTATAGGACATCTACTACAAAGATGTATTTGGGAATACAACCCCAGTAGCAAGGGAAACAAAAACAAAAATAAACAAATAGAACTATATCAAACTTAAAAGCTTTTGTACCTCAAAAGAAGTCCTTAAAAAAACAAACAGGCAACCTACAGAATGGGAAAAAAGCATATTTGTATACCATATATCTGATGAGGGGTTCATCAGAGAAAATACAAAGTTACTTATACATTCCAACAACAAAGAAACAAATGACCCAATTAAAAAAATGGACAAAGGACTTCAGTAGACAGTTCTCTAAAGAACATTCAGATGGCCTATAAACATATGAAAAAACATTCAATGTCATTTATTATAAGATGAATACAAATTAAAACAATGCTGAGATGCCACCCTTACCCTAAGAGAATGGCCCATATAAAAGTGAACGGAATTAACGAATGTTGGCAAGGTTGTGGTGTAAAAGGAACTCTCGTCTACTATATGTGGAAATGCAAATTGTTACAGCCCTTGTGGAAAATGGTATGGAGCTGTCTTAATAGAAATGGAAATCCCTTTTGACCCAGCAGTACTGCTAGTAGGTAGTCATACAAATAACTGAAAAATTTAACGTGAAAAGATCTAGCTATACCTATGTACATAGCAGCACTCTTTACAATTGCCAGATGATGGGACCAACCTGCGTACCCTTCACCAGATGAACGGAGAAAGTGGGAAGCGTATCTATTCAATTACATACTACACAGCTGTGCAGAAAGATGAAGCGGTGGCATTTAGCACAAAATGGATGCATCTTGGGGTGATTATATTGAGTGAAATCACCCAAACAATAAAAGACAGATTGCAGATGGTTTCACTTATCTACAGAATATAAATAACCAAAGAACAATTACATGCAAACAATAGAAGAAATAAAAATTTGAACTCAGCAAAAAAAGAGAAGATAATAGTTACCAGAGGAAAAAGGGGAAAGAGTGAAGGATATGGGACATGGAGGCAGATGGGATATGGGCACAGGTGGTTTGGTGAGGTAATTAAAAAAAGAAAAACTGTAGTAAGACCAATAATAACAAAAAAGCAACTCTGAAATATGTATAACCTGAATGAAAGGTATGTACAGTGATTTGAAGGCATGTGATTGTAACCACCTCTGACAGGACTTAGCTAATTCATTAAGAGAAGGGAAACAAAGGAGATGAGGTCATCACAGCTGTTTGAGCATTTTTTAAATTTGTTATGTGAAGAAATAGGGCACAGGAAGAGGCAACAATGCTGGACAGATAAAGCATGTGTTAGGCCTCAGAGCTTTCAAGACTGTGGGTACCTGAAGGTTGAAATTCCAGAGAGAAATTTTAAAATTTTTTTCTTCTCAAAAACTCCTTTACTCTGCTCACCCCAAGTGGCAATTATGGAGGCACACATCTTGGGTCATCCTGCAAGAAGGCACTTGTTGAGGAATGTGTTTAGCTTGCAGCTTCACTTGTAGCACCTGCAGAATCTTTCTCAGCTTTGGAGTCAAAGGTGTGTTCATTGAGTTAGAGCTTTCCACGCAGACTCCAGGAAGTGACTTAGCACAGTGGATTCTAGGCCCTCAACCATGCCCTTTCTGCACAGTGCAGGTCTCCTGCATGGGAATCTTTCACCAGAGCTCCCCAGTGGACTGGCTTCAAGTTTCTAAGAGTGGCACTGCAGTCTGAGGCTCTTATGACCCAATCTCATTTGCTCTGTCCCCTCCCCAAATAATCATATAGAAATCATTGAAACTAGTAGGGATAATCGATTTAAATCAACCAGGATTAGAAAATTTCTCTATGCAAATACATGCCTTTTTTCCATCAATGCAAAAAAAAAATCTACAAAGGGTTTCCTCTAATTTACTAATAAATAATCAATAGTACATTAATAAAATGTTAAGAATGTTTTATTGTATCTGCTTTGGTGGACTGTTTTAGCAAATATGGAGGCCCATGACTATCAAGATTCTTTTTTTTTAATATTATCTAATAAAAAATAAGTCCAACTCTTGGCTTCATTTATATGTGTAATATAGAGAAATTGATCAAAGGGTCAGGAAAAAGTCAAAACTAGCAAGCTGACCATGGATCTAAGGCATAGAGCAGGGGAGGAGACAAGACGGAAGAAGGAAGAACACAAGGGGCTGTGGTGGTGGGAGAACTGTAGGGACTACACCTAAGGAGAGATATCAAATACCATCTAAAATGAGCAATGGTGTAAGAAATAAATGAATAATTAAAAATATTAAACCCAAGTTCTCCTCAATTTGATCTCATCCTTCTCTTTTCAAAATCTACACTGAAGAAAATTATGTAGACATTTCATCACTTGAAGTTGTTACAGGTTTTCCCTTTTTATTCTAAGGGAAAATGAAGTTGGATTGCTTTTAAGGGAAGACTCTACTGAGATGTAATCATTTATACTCTCTTTTAGGTTATTTACTGTATTATTTACCAGATGAAATTGTGCTTATGTTATCTCTATTTTATAGGTGAGATTACACAGTGAGAAGAGTTAAGTGACTCCATTGCAGCCAGACTTTTCAGTCAGGACTCTGTATGTCTAGATTCCAGGATTTTGCTTGTGTTGTAACCCCATAGACATGGTAATAAAGAAGTTGTATCACTACTTTCAATATAGAAGAGTGTCATTTTCAGTGATGTGCTTGACCTAGGTGTCTCGAAATAGTGATGTGTGGGAGAAGCATGAAGCAGTTCCTGAAAGAACGGAAGAAAGAAAACCTTATCCTCCCACCCCGAAGGAGGCAGAATTTCAGGCTCCAGCAGAGCTGCACCAGCATGAAGCAGACGCCAGAGAGCCTGAGGAGCACCAGGTGGAAGAGGAGCATAGAAAGGCCCTGGAAGAGGAGGCCATGGAGCAGGTTGGCCAAGCAGAGCACTTGGAGGAGGAACATGACCCCTCACCAGAGGAGCAAGAACGGGAGTGGAGGGAACAGCATGAACCCAAAGAGGCCAACATCCTTCTGGAAGCTCATGCTCACGCTAAGGTACGAGGTCACCTTCAGGTCTCCTGGGATTGTTTTGTAGGCTGAGATAAGGAGTGAAGCTTTGTTTCTAAATATTAAAGAAGCTTCTCCATATACGATGATCTCTAAAACAAAAAATTCTAGAGGCTTCACTAAATTTTACATTCACATAATTAAATTTTCTGTTATTAATGGAGCTACTTGCATGCCTCAGAAAGATGATTGGGGAAAAGAAAAAGAGCTGCTAGTTTGTGTGTGGGTTGTGAGGGGATTATTCTCACATCCCTGTAACAGAAAAGCACAGATCAGCACTGTATCCTTGATCACCTTCCTGGAATATGCTCAAGCCCTTATGGGCATTCTGAGGCTGAGAAAAGTACCTTTTCTGCTATCAGAAGTTCCTTCTTGTTCATTTTCATTTGACCCTAGAGCAGTGCAGGGGTTAGGGGCACTGACCCTTAACATGTTCAAAAATCGGAAAATCTGTATATAACCTATAGTCCCCCCTCCATATCCACAACTCCAAATCTGTGAATTACACTGAGAGACATCCCCAAGTGGCTGATCCCATGAATTCGGAAGCCAGGATTAAAAAAGCAAACAAACTGTAGAAGTGGATGAGGGAGGGTCAATCCCCTGTTGTTCAAGGGTCAGCTGTACCATTAAATCATTTATTGGCTTTTGCGAATTTACCTTCAAGGTGGATAGTACATTATCAGAAAGCTAATCTTACCACTTATGGCTACTCTACTAGGTGAGTTTAACTAGTCTCCTGTTCAGCCTCTTCTCACTGAGCACTCCTTTCTCACATACATAAATATCTATTATTGGGCTTCCCCGGTGGCGCAGCGGTTGAGCGCTGGGTTGCGAAGCTGCCAGCGGCCTCTGCGGCGCCGGTTTGATCCCCGGCTGCTCCCAGGCCACCGGAGGAGGGTCCCACATGGCGCGCAGACCTCTCCTGCTGCCTGCTGCTCCCCTCAGCAGTGTACTTCGGTCCTTCTGCCTGCTCTGCTCCCCGCTCTGGCTCTGGTGAATTCTCTCACCCTCCCACGCTTCTGACTGTACCCAGTGCTTGTATAAACAAACAAATAAATAAATAAATAAACATGCCTCTATTAAAAAAAAAAATCTATTATTATTACTATAAATGAAACTTTAAAAGAACTTTAAGCAACACTGTATGCAACCAGGCATTTTTCTTCCATTGTCTCTAAGATGACACCAAATAATGTAAAGTTTATTTGTAAAGTTTACAAATGTAAACTAGATAGATATAAAGTTTATTTATAAATTTGAATTTTTGGGACGTCCTTGGTGGCATAGGCGGTTGGGCGCAGCGCTGTGAAGCTGTCCACAGCCTCTGCAGTGCCGGTTCGATACCCGCCAGCCTCGGAGCAACCCACATGGCAAACATACCTCTCCTGTCTTGCCCGCTGCTCCCCTCAGCATTGTATTTTGGCAGTCTGCCTGTTCTGTTCCCCGCTGTTTCTGGTGAATCCTCTCACCCTCCCGCGCATCTGGCCTGTACCCCAGTTCTTGTATAAATAAATCTTGAAAAAAAATCTAAATTTTTGTTTTGCTTCAAAATTTGCAAGGCTTCAGGTTGTTTGAGGCTCTAGGCTGGGTAAGGGTAAAGGTTACACTCTTACGTGGTTGCACGCTTAGCTTTGAGAAACCACTCTCAATCTTGTAGCTGTCATGGTTCTCTTCATTAGTAATTCCCCACTAGGTTTAAGTCCCCTCCACTATGCTACCTCTTTTCTTCTGGAGAGAATTTTGTATATTTGTTTTGGGTGAAGGAGAGAAGGGGTGAGTGCTCAATGAGAAGCAGGGTTTAAGAGTTCCTGTATCAAATGTTTCTTTAATCAGGAGATACTTTCTTCTTACCCATTCTTTTATCTCTTGAAGAAACTGGTTCTCTGTTTTTCCATCCTAATCTGAATGTGACTTTTTTCCCCACTTATATTTTTCTGTTTTACCTAGCCTGAGCTTGGTGAATACACTGCTAGAGTTAACTGGTATTCCTAGGTCTTTAACTCTACCTGGGAAAGCCTTAGGCTCACCTTTAGCTCACAAACACAACAATTAGTGTGAGGATACCAGGTACCCACTTAATTTTTTTTTTTAAAGATTTATTTTTATTTATACAAGAAGTACAGTCAGAAGTGCAGGAGGGTGAGAGAATTCACCAGAGCCAGAACGGGGAGCAGAGCAGGCAGAAGGATTGAAGTACACTGCTGAGGGGAGCAGTGGGCGGCAGGAGAGGTCTGCGTGCCATGTGGCACCCTCTTCCCGTGGCTGGGGAGCAGCCGGGCATGGAATCGGCGCTGCAGCCTCACAACCCAGCGCTCAACCGCTGCGCCACCCGGAGGCCCTTAAATTTTTAACATACATTCAATTAAAATTTGAAACTGGTTTTTTTTGTTGTACTCGCTTCCATTTTCAAGGGAGCACATTGAATATCTGCCTTAATGCCAGCAATTTAGCAGGATCAGTTGTTTAAAGAACCCCAGGATGATTCAGAATGAGTTGAGAAATAGGAATTCTGAGCTGGGTGACCTTGGACATAATGTATAATCACAACTTACCTATCAGACAGGTATTAATAAACCCTGCCTCCTGAGTTTATCATGACAAGGAACAATCCAGAGGTCCTGACTTTTTTTGTTGACCCAACTCCTTTTTCCCCAGGTTTATCCTTCAGCCAAGCCCGTCACCAAACGCCTATCACCATATGAGGAGCAGTTGGAACAGCAAAGGCTGGCGGTGAGGCGGGCTGAGGAGGCCCAGCGGCTGAGAGAGCAGCAGGAGGCTCTGCACCAGCAGAGACTGCAGGGACACTTGCTGAGACAGAGGCAGCAGCAGCAGCAGCAGCAGCAGCTTCTCGCCAGAGACATGTTCCATCAGAGGCAGGCGGGACACGAGGCAGGGCAGCCCCAGCGTCCTGAGAAGCTACGGTAACCTTCTCCTGCCGGCGTGGGCAGCCCTTTCTCTGATTTTTATGAACATATTAAAAACAGCTTCTTGTATTTATTATTCATGAACTTCAGGGGTTCATACTGCTTTTGCACCTGAAAAAGAATAACTTCTTGAGAATTAAATTTCAAGTAATTTCTTTATAAAATAATAAACATTTTTTTTTCTGATCTCAAAATAACCTACCAGGTTTTGGTGCTGCCTTTATTATTTGAAAGCTGGGCTATCTTTTTAAAGATATCTTTTGAAATCATGTCTGGAATCTTTATTATAAATAAAGGTTCGCATACATTTAAAAATCGCATACATTTAAAAAAACATTTTTATGTCATTTCAAGAATTTTGAAAAATTTGTTTATTATGATCTTTGAAGATCATAATAAACATGCCAATTGACCATTGACATGCCAATTGTGCCATTTATTTGAGTCACTGAATTGTAGCATTTGCGTACCTTGCAGGCAGCAAGCCCATTATGATGCGATGGACAATGATATTGTTCAGGGAGCAGAGGACCAGGGCATCCAAGAAGAGGAAGGCGAGGGTGAGATTTCTTAGATGATGAATTTTTTAAGACAAATTGCTTGGTAATGTATGATGCCAACTCAGAGTTATGCACATCTGAATACACACAAAACAATCTGTATACTGTTTGTCTTTTGTTGTTGTTATTGTATTTTCCCTAATCCTCCCAAATCATGCACATTTGTAGCCACAGTTGCCAAAAGTCTGTTTTTTCCTTTCACATTTTTCCCATAGATTAACCCTTTTTGTGTACTAACTCATAATTTATGAGGCATCATCATAACACTGTTCTGCTGTGGGAAATTTCTAGATTTTCTGCTCACCTTAGGGATCCTTGGATCATGGCTTGAGAGTTTTCCAAATTAAGTCAATAGTAGTTTTCATTTATAGTGAACATCTAGCATATCATGTTTACTGTGATAATAGAAGTAGAAAGTAACCATCTCTCTGGCAAGACAAACACTTAGACAAAGATCCCTTATTCACACCCTATTCTGATATCCTTTAGCCCTTATAGTAAAGGAATTTTTTCCTCGTGTCCCTGGTTGCTGCATCTTCAACATTTTTGTTCTGTTATCAGTAAAATCCCTTTTTTGTTTAATGAATCCCTGAGTGCACTGGAAACTTAATGGCAAGTTAACTTGCCCATGTTTTTGCTTTTTATAGGCATTCACCATATACTTAGGTTTTCTTCTTTCCTCTTTTTATAAAAATCACTTGTTCTTCTCTTTGTTTGCTCTTATCTAAATTCTCTTTTTTTTTTTTCCTATTTTTACAAAGCACCCATGTGTGTATAAGAGCAGCCAAGAGCGCCTGTGTGCAGCAGTCATCATCCTCACTACACCAGAGAAACGGACTTGGCTGTGTTTGGTTTTGATCTTACAGCTGGGTTATTATTTCATCCATTTCCTGAAACATTGTCAATCCCTTGCTATTCTTTTTGATAGTACCAAAAAAATAGTTAATAATTTTAGCAATGTCCAGTTGACAGGGCTTTATTTTACTGAGAAAGTTTTGATTGTCGCTACTGTTTTGTGTATGGAGGCAGGTCACAGTTTCTTTCAAAAAGATTTGTTTCAGAGAGCTTGAACGGTGTCACCCACTTATCTCAGACGTAACGACTACAGCCAAAGGGAAAGGAAATAGCTTTATTCAGAAAAGCTGAGATCTGCGCCCTAGGTTGAGTTAGCCTCGCTAGAGGAGAGACTAGGTGAAATGGAATTTTCATGGAGTTGAAAGGAAAGGGTCCTATCTGGTTCGCCAGGGCTGATGTTAGTTGTTTTGCTTTGTCAGCCTACGAGCGGGACAGCCGGCGCCAAGATGAGGTAGAAGAGGATGCAGAGAATGCTCGTGAACCTCAAGAGCAAGGACCCCAGGAAACTGACCCTGAATCGGAGGCAGACGTAAGTGTCTTCTCTCTTGCTCATCACAGTTCTAACCCCACAGGCAGAAAGGAAACCTGGAGGTGTGGCGGGCTCCCTGCCTCGGCTCCAGGTATGTCTGTTACTGCATTGGCATGGAGGAAGGTGGCTTGTGTGATTATATGACATGAGCAGTGTTGCTAACTGTGCACCACGGGGTATGTGTGATGAGACTGTGTTAAAGGTGGCTCTGGAAAAACATAAAGGCTTGTCCCTCTGGCCAGTCATAGGTTATAAAATTAAATCCAAGGAAAGCAAAATAGAGAGGCATTAAAATGTGTACTAATTCTAAAAGATGGGGGGTGTGCATGGAAGGAAAAGCACTTGTGGGAGTTGAAGGGAAAGCCAAAGAGAGGAAATGAGCCATCATCAAGTATGTCGAGCAGTGTGGGCGTGTGTGTGTGTGTCCTGTGACTCTGTGATGGCCCAGCAGTCCAGCAACCATTTTAAGAAACATGTCGATAGGCTGTGTGATTTGAGAAGTGGGGAAAAAAAACAATAACTGTACACGTACCATTATGCTGGGGAAAAACAAAAAAATTGAATGAGGTAGAGACTTAATAACCAGGAATGTTCTTTGTGTTTACCTAAAAAGGACTAAACCCCAAGTTCAGCCATGTGGTCTGGGGCCTTGGTTTTGCCTACAGGTGAGGTGAGCAAATGCCAAGTGAGTGTGTTCTTGTGCTGACGTGTACATTACATTTACAACTTTAACTCCCCTGTCATTGTTTGCTAGTAAATAGCATATTTATAAAATTCAGTCTGTGATATCCCATGGTCCCTGTTTCTAATAATTCAGTGTCATGAAAGAGGAACTCCTATCCTTCTTTGATAGTCTTCATCATTGAAGAAATCTTCATTGATGTAAATGACTTTTCGGCTTAACTTGTGGGGAGATATGGCAGAACAATAGGCTTGCCAGCTCCTGAAATGCATTTCTGAAATCGTGCTCTAGAGAAACATAGCCGTGAAACATTTTCAGGAAAAAGCAAGAGCTGCACAGAGCAGGGGAAAGATAATGAGAGATGTGAGAACAAGAAAGTGTGGGTCTGTGAGAGGACAAGAGAGCAAATGTACCAAAGTCGAAGAATGCACATGAGAGGAATGAGGTGGGTCAGGAAAGGGATGAGTTATTTCCATTGCTGATGTTTGGAAAATTCTGTGCACTTCAATTACTTGGCTATATAATCCTTTACATTTCTACTATCTATTTACTTGTTCTGGAGAGCACACTGCAAACATTTATTTGTCTACCATGCCTTCTTTTAATTAGAAAATTTTAACTCACTTCTTTTCTTTATTTCATCTAATTCATTTATTTATTAATTTAGATAGAACTATTTTTGTCCAACATTATTGAGGTATGAATGGTAATTGATTTTATTTGAATATAGTAAAAGTGCCTGTTAAAGTTTACGTATACTTTGATTAGAGTTGAAGCTAGTGAGTGTATTTTTATGAACTTTTGCAAGAATTTTTGGTACTTTTTAAAGAGAATGTGTTATGGTTTTTCTATATTTTCATACAAATTATTGATAATGCACAGAAAGAAATCCATATGACAAGAGATTATAGAATAATTGGAGTTTAGCATGGAGGTGATGATCTGTATTCCCCAGAAAAGTGTCATTTGCACTTGAATAAAGTAAATGACCAGCAATGTCCGGGTAATAGACCAGCTGAGCCTGCAGTGCGCTCTTGAAAGTGTTTAAGGCTCTAAAGTGAATTGAAGTAGAATCTTGTTTTCTGGAGAATGCTGATATAGAGACAAAATCTTACTCTGAGGCTTCATCATCACCGGGAAGCAGTTGCTACTTTTGTGAAGTGTCCTGTTGAGACCCTGGAGTGTCAGGGAAGTCACACAAGTGTCACCATTTCTGCCCAGCTCTGGCTCTAAAATCCGAGTCTTGAGAAGGACAGCTATCATTTTGAAAACTGTTCTGGGAACTTCAGTGGAAATTTGAGATAATTCTAAAGTCCATAAAATGAAGGGCATTTTTTTTTTCATCGAAATAACATTGGTTTACCACATTGTAGATGATTAAGAAGTATGGATTCACACCTCTTTAAATGTATGTTACCACCCCTCTCCACCACAAAGGCACCAATAATCCTCCACTAGAGTCCTAGAGCCCCTTCCACCCTTCGCTGTCCACTGGTAGCCTCAATTCTGTAGTCAGATATCTAGTGTTTGTTTTGGTTTAACTTTATCTGTCCCTCTTTGTTTTGTTTCTTTATATTCCATATATGTGTGAAATCATCCAATTTCTCCTCTCAGTTATTTCACTTATAATAATCCCCTTCAGTTCCATCTATGTTGTCACAAATGGCAAGATTTTTTCTGATTTTTATAGCTGAGCAGTAGTCCATTGTGTATACATACATCTTCTTTACCACTTATCTCTCCTAGGCATATAGGTTGTTTCCATAACTTGGCTACTGTAAATAGTGCTGCAGTGAACATAGGAATAAATAGATCCTGAAGAACATTTGTTGAACACCATAACTGGAAACTCCTTGGGAGGTGGCCTGCATTGGGTGACAGATTTTTCAAACTGCATTGCCAAGATTGGCTTGTTAGCTGAAGTCATTTTCCCCCAGTTCTTGCCAGTGCAGTATCTCTCAGCTTCCATGGTTGTGTTTGTTATAAAGAAATTTCATCAGTACTAGAAATTGATGATTTAGCCCTCTTCTAGTGTCGGCCTTCTCTTTTCAACTGCATGTTATCCACTTATGTGTGAAAAATCACTTGCAAAGGAAAGCTTGTCTGTATAAGAATCAACATACCAGTAAAAGAAGTTACTATTTGCCTATCCGAATCTCCCATTTTCACTAGTTCTCCTACTTGGTATTTGGCTTTTATTAAATATTTTTCTTACTGTCTTTTTAGTTACGTCATATTACTTTGTTGTAGTAGAATTTTGAGGACTCTTGGAAAATCATTTTCAATAAAGAAGTGCTATTTGATTCATCAGCTTTGTAGAAATAAAGCAAGAGCTTTATTTTTGACAGTGGGATGATATGTACTTGTGAGTCTTGGAAAGGATGGATAGGAACAATCTGCTGAAGGACAATTTCATTTTCTACCTGTGTGTGGCCTTTCAAATGAAATTAAACTTGATTCTGTGTTTTGAAGTGGTGATTGCATTTTATTAAAATTTTACAGAGAGCAGCTGTTGAGGATATAAACCCAGCAGATGACCCTAATAATCAAGGCGAAGATGAATTTGAGGAAGCTGAGCAAGTGAGAGAAGAAAATTTACCTGATGAAAATGAAGAGCAAAAGCAAAGTAATCAAAAGCAAGATAACGCAGACATGGAGGAGCATTTGGTGGTAAGCAGATGACATTGCAGAGGGTGTTTTACCCCAGGTGCCTGGTTTATGCAAAGGTCAGTAATAACTTTGACAGAACATGTGTGTCTTTGGTTGATTTTTCAGGCTGTTGTATGCAATTAAATGGCCACACTCAGAGAAAGAGAGCATAACAGATATCCAGGGCTTTGTGTTGGGAATGATTATTCATCATTTCCTGGCCTCTGATGCATTGAAAGTGCATTTTTTTTTTTTTTTTAGAATTTTAATCAGACTGGCATTTTATTGATAAATCAATTTGAGATAACTGGCATATTTATGAAAGTGCATTTTTTTTTATAGTGCTCCTTCCAGGGTACTATAAAAGGCATCTCCAATGTCCAGTAACCTGAACTTCCCCCTTTTGTTTCAACAGATGGCAGGAAATCCAGACCAGCAGGAAGATAATGTTGATGAGCAATACCAGGAAGAGGGAGAAGAAGAGGTAGGAAGGTGGAATGCAGGAGACCAATCAAACTGCCTGGTTGCATCACACTAGCCTTAACAAACTTCAGTAGCATCTTATGTCCTCTGTAGAAATGTTCAGAAAGACTTAGGCAGGATCAGAAAGGGTTCAAAGTGGAAATGGACTATGGCAGTGGAAACATTTGGTTAGAAGATAACAAAATGGGGTAACAGTCCTTTTTATTTCTCACTAGAAAAAAATTTAATTGAGGTAACATCAGTTTACAACACTGTGTGCTCTAGGGGGAGTAGGTTCACACCTCCTCAGATGTATGTTGCCACACCGCTCACCATCAAAGAACTGCAGACCATTGGATCCCCCCACTTTGTTCCCACTCTTACCCTCCCTTCCCTTCTTCACTGGAGATTTTGAATTGATAACACATTTGGCTTTGCAGGACTTAAGTTTTTGTGATCCAAGAATATCATCTCCTATCACTTTTCTTCATAAAAAAAAAAAAACCGAGAAGAACAAAGCTTTGCACTTTGAGGGGACCTGTTACTATTTCTGTAGACATTGCTACAGGGCCCTGTAGTATAGTGATTTTGAACTACACTTACCATCCTCTAAACATTAAAAAAAAATTTTTGGTCTCTAAATTCGACATTCCCCATCTTGAGAACTTAGTGTCTTACTTAAATTTAATAATAAAGAAAAAGAAAATTATGTGAGGAGCTCAGTTGAATAAACTGTATTTAGGTGAAATGTCTGAACATTTCATTTTAATTTGCTTTTTATTACACATTTCTGGCATATTATTGTTGATCACGTATGTGTAATTTTTTTTTTCATATTATTTTTATTAAGGTAACTTTGATTTTACTGTGTTGTATATGATAGAGTGGTTTATGACCACAGTTTCAGATGTGTTTCACCATACCACATCCACCACCAAAGCACCCTAGCATCCACTACCATACTCCATTGTGCTCCCTCCCCACTGTGTCCTGGTCCCTCCCCAACTTTCTCCTCTGGTAGATTTCTAGAAGCAGTTAATCAAAAGACTCCACCATGTGAACCACTGAAGCCCACTCAATGCTTGGAACTATGATGTGGATGATGTGAAGTCTCCATGTTTAGTTTCTCTGTGGGCCAGTAAATTAAAGCTTGCTTCATGGCCACTTCTTATCCAGGTGTCTTGTAAATGTGTGACTTTGGTCCTAAGGGAACCACATGAAAGGATGAACAAATGACAACAAATGACAATAAACACACCTGCATCCCTTGAGCTCCTGCTCAGAGTACATGTGCTGCTGCACTCATATACACTGCTCCCTTCACTTGGTCTGCTTCCCAGCATTTTTATTGCATAGTCATCTTTACAGATCTAGCACTGCAATCTGTGCTTATATCAGGAAAGTAGAAAAGGGTATCACTTTACAGCCATTGGCAACATGCATCTCTAGTCACAGGTACTCCAACTAGCTTGATCTCTTTATTCTCCCTCTTCCTCAACCTGCTGTTCATCCTAATCCAGATTCTGAGCTGCCTTATTAGAAGGAACATTAGGGAAACTAGCTGTTTTGAATATTAAGACATTGGCAAGAAAAATATGTTCTTGCAGAGTTACCTTGTAACAAGATGTCTAGACTAATATTACTTTGTTTTATTATGTCAGCAGCCAGAAAGCTTTGAGGGATTAAAAGAATAGTTCACCTTGGCTTCTTTTTAAAAAATTCAGAAGGTTCAACATAAAATTTTAATTAATATTTACTGATTAGTTTTTACTTTTATGTCATTTGCTAGAGAGAAAAATCCTGTGATAAAGGAGAAATCAAGGATAGAAAGAAAATAAATGCAGAGAGCAGCAAGGGAAGGAGAATTGGTGACTAGGGAGAGGCAATGGAGTGACCCCGTGAGCGCCTGCACCTTGGCAACTGCGTTGTCAGGCCACCGTGCCTCCTCCCTCAGAGTCCTTACTTTGCACACACTTAACACAGTTTCTATTTCTCTTTTCCTTGTTCCTGCCTAGCTTTCCTATGGGCAACATCGTGCCAGGGCTTTCTGCCCCGCTCTTGCCTAGGCTATAGTTTGCCACGTGAGCTCTCAGGGGAAGCCCAGAATTCCTGTCCCTGTATAATTTTCACTTGAGCCCCTGAGTACCCTTTGTTCAGGTTGTCTTCTCTGCTGGTAGTTCCTGAGATGGTTATTATTGGATATTCCAACCTCCTAATATTTTTCCCAAATCTTCCCCTGAGGCAGGAGAAGGGGAGTAGTTACCAATACTATTCAAAGGCTAGAGAAAGAGGTGGAGGTCTCAGCATGCTGCAGCAAAGTGGAGAAAAATAAAAGGGAACACAGTGAGATACTCACCTAGAAGAAATGACCAGACAGCAGGGACCCCCTGGCAGAAGTATATATCTCTGTCTTGCCCAAATGTAAAAAACTCACCTGAATCTGATCAAACTTCTGACCATTAGCTATCAGTTTTTTTAAAAAATGGCAGAAATAAAAAATATACAGATTTCCAGTTGTAAGATGAATAAGTAGTTTATAAGGAGATAATATACAACATGATGAGTAGAGTTAAAACACTTTTGAATGGTATGTATAGAAGTTGCTACGAGACTAGATCCTAAGAGAAAACAATATGGCAGTTTCTCAAAATATTAAAAATGGAGATTCCATATGACCTAGCAATTCGACTCCTAGGTATCAACCTGAAGAACACAAAAATACTAATTTGAAGAGGGGTATGCACTCTTATGTTCACTGCAGCATTATTTACAACAGCCATGTTATGGATATAACTTTAGTTCCCAAAGACAGATGAATAGATAAGGAAAATGTAGTGTATATAAGCAATGGAATACTACTCAATTATCAAAAAAGATAAACTCTTGCCATTTGTCAGGCATGATTGGAGCTGGAGAGGATTATGCTAAGTGAAGTAAATCAGAAGGAGAAAGACAAATAACATATTGTGCCACTTATATGTGGACTATAGAGATACAAAACAGTCAGATAAAGCCAAAAATAACGACCCCTAGAAATCTAACTGTAGAACTGAGGCTACGGAGAGAGAAGAAAATGGGGCAGGAACATAATGGCCTATGATGGAGGACAATGGGTGTCTTGGTGGTGGGTGTGGTGTGGTAGAAATACCTGAAGGGGGAGATCCTATCTCTGTAAATCTTATCTAGTGTCATAAACCATCATTGCCTCAATAATATTAATATAAAAAAGATTAGTTCAGGGCCTCCCTGGTGGCCCAGTGGTTGAGCCCTGGGCTACGAAGCTGCCCGCAGCCTCTGCAGCGCTGGTTGGATCGATCCCTGGCTGGCAGGCGAGGGTCCCACACGGTGCGCAGACCTCTCTTGACGCCTGCTGCTCCCCTCAGCAGTGTACTTCATCAGTCTGCCTGTTCTGCTCCTCGCTCTGGTGAATTCTCTCACCCTCCTGCGCTTCTGACTATACCCAGTGCTTGTATAAATAAATAAATAAATCTTTAAAACAAACAAACAAACAAGCAAAAAGATTAGTTCAGAATGGCTTACATAAAGTTAAAAGAGACTAGAACATGGGAAGATCATAGCAGATTATGGCATCAGAAGGGACTATTTTCTCTCCCTGACCTTCCGGACCATTGTACAAGGGGTTGACCACCCTTGGGATGGAGTGATATCAGGAGCAGTAGATGTTATTTCCAGTCCATTCTTACTTACCGACCACATCCTTTGATAATTTACCAAATTAATGAGAAAGGGATAAATAGACTGAGTATACTTTGAGTGGGACTGGGAAGAAGAGCGAAGCCAACTCCATGATACTTTGATTCTAAAATAATTTGTTAAGTGACACTATTGTATATAATTTATTACTGATAATAGAAAATAAATTTTTAAGGTACATTAGAGATAGCATCCAAAGCCAGCTTGCAATTTAATCCTTTCTTGGCTCTCCCTGATTTATAGGAAAACCAGAAAAATATTGAGCTTTAAGTTAGGATTTGTGTTGTATTAATTTCTATGTTTCCGTCTATGTTTAACTCAACAATTCATCCATCAATAATTGTTGAAGCAAATTGAATTTCTAATTCTAGAGAACAGTGAAATGATTATGAACTGAATTAATTACTCTGACATGGTCATAGTTTAATAAAGAATTCAGAAATTAAAAAAAAAGAACCTTAGAGTTCTCTATACAAGAACTAAACCTTTTTTTTGGTATCTGTAGAAGATACCAAATAGAATAGAAGATGATATTGTACAATAGAAGATGATATTGTACAATATATGACAGCCAATTTATTATGCATGTTAAACTTATTGTATACCTTAAAGTTAACACAGTACTGTATATCAATTCTATCTCAATAAAAGAAATGGGGATATAGAGTATGTGAACCATACATGTTGCTTATATGATGTGTATATTTAAGGCATTGATGGAGGCCTTCTGAAGGCCATGCAGTGCCCTATAAGGTGCAGTGTTCTTACCTCTAATAGGTCTCAGAGTTTCCAGCTTCCCACTGATTTCTCAGGTGTAAGACCATTGCTGCTGTGGGTTCTGCAACCTTGATACCCACAGCGACACTGACTTACATCAGCATTTGCTCTTAGGGAGAAATTGAATCTTGCCAGGGCTAGTGTGTGGCACTTTATAGACTTGAATTGTGAGAGTAGAGGACCTAAACAATGTGATTAGAAAATGTGCATTATTCCTGCTTTCTTTATTTTTTTTTAAGATTTATTTATTTATGCATACAAGAACCAGGGTACAGGCCAGATGCGCGGGAGTATGAGAGGATTCATCAGAGACTGTGCGGGGAATAGAACAGGCAGACTGACGAAATACACTGCTGAGGGGAGCAGCTGGCGAAACAGGAGAGGTCTGCTGTGCCATGTGGGTAGCTCCCTGGCTAGCGTGGGATCGAACTTGTGCTGAAGAGACTGCGGAGAGCTTCAAGGTGCTGTGCTTAACCCCTTGCACCACCAGGGAGGCCCACCCCTGCTTTCTTTAACTCTAGAGCAGCAGTGTTACTTTTCTAAAACACAAAAATAATTGGTTATTAGAAAGCATTCCTTATTTATGGTAAATATTTTATTTTAAAAAATTTGTATGGGCCTCCCCGGTGGCACAGCAGTTGAGCGCTGGGCTACGAAGCTGCCCGCAGTCTCTGTAGTGCCGGTTTGATCCCTGGCCGCTGGCGAGGGTCCCACATGGCGCGCAGACCTCTCCTGCTGCGCCCGCTGCTCTCCTCAGCAGTGTATTTCCTCAGTCTACCTATTCTGTTTCCTGCTCTGACTCTGGTGAATTCTCTCACCCTCCTGCACTTCTGACTGTACCCAGTGCTTGTATAAATAAATAAATCTTTAAAAAAAATTTTGTATTTTTATCAATAAAAAAATTAAAATGAGTAATGAGAAGCAATGTTGAGAAATCTTTGGCAAAATGTTTGCATCAGCTTTAGTAGAGTGTGGAAAACCTAATGGGTGAATTTATAAAAGAGCAATATTTGGCTTCTAGTTATAAGCCTAAGTAAGCATGCTTTAAAATTAGATTCTCCATATCATTTTTTTTTCCATTTCAGTAATACCTCTAAGATGAGTTTGAATTACTTTTACCCAAACATGAAGAGAAAATTAATAGAATTCTTATAAAATTTCATTTGTGGGTCTCTTAAAGAGTAATTTAAATTGGTCTTTCTACATAGTCTGAATCAACACCTGGTAAACAACTTAAGTTGTTTGTTTTTTTTTTAAAGATTTGTTTATTTATTTATGCAAGAAATGGGGTACAGGCCAGATGCGAGGGAGGGTGAGAGGATTCACCAGAGACAGAGCGGGAAACAGAACAGGCAGACTGACTGAAATACACTGCTGAGGGGAGCAGCGCATGCAACAGGAGAGGTCTGTTGGGCCATGTGGGACCCTCGCTGGCCTGCCAGGTTCAAACGGCGCTGCAGAGGCTGCGGATGGCTTCACAGCACTGCTCTCAACCGCCTGTGCCACCAGGGGAGGCCCTGCTTTGTTTTATTTTCTGATTTGTTTTGTTTGTTTGTTTTTTTAAATCCACATATCACAAGAGTAGAGAAGCATAAAGTCCTACGAAGGTCTCTATCTAGAGACATTGTTTACTTGGTATTCATCATCACTCAGAAAAGTGGCTCGCAGGCCTTGTGGCTAGAAATCATCTTGTAATATACATGAAAAATACAATGCTAGGGACAGACCTTACATTTGGAAATTTTGATCTTATCTCTGGTGTTATTGTTCTACACACACAAACATTCTCACTACCTGCAGCTGTGATGTTCAGAAAACACTGCTTAGAGAAATTGTTTTAGGATACATGGCTGTGGGTGAATATAGCAAGGTTTGAACTTTCTGAAATTTCTGTACTAAATGCTGTGTATCTATGCCCATTTGCCAAAGACTTTCTTACAAACTTTTTGGTCTCCATGATTCACCCTACTATATGCACATAGAAAATTAAAAATCACTGATTCTAAGTCAACTCTTTTCTTTTTCATATAAGAAATTTGAACTTCAGAGAGGTTAGCTAAATTTTTGAAAATCACACACTTTGTTATTGTTAAAACCATGATTAGAACCCACACTGTTCTCATTTTAAAGGCCACTATATTTAAGTTTTCCAAGCATAGTAACTAAATAGTTGATAAAGGCAAATTTTTCATTGAACTTAGTGAATGCACAAAGAATGATGGAATTGTAAAATCAATATTTTTTTTGCAACCCATAAGTAAAGGTATTTAAGAGCAATCATTAGTGCATGATAACACTAGGTAGAGGGCAGGGAGTTTTTGCATTAAAGAGATCAGACTGTCACTTATGAACCAACTTAGCTTCACTGAAAGTAGGGGACTTAAATGTGTCTTCTGATGTGATAAAAATAGGAAATCTATAGCATCACCTCTGAGAAACTCTGGCTTTGCAAATTGAAACTGAATTAATTTAAGTGTTCAAGGTAACTTCCTTTTATAAGAACTGTGGGGTTAAAAGAATGAATTAAGTGATACTTTATAGAAGCAAGTTAATCCATAATGTGGGTCATTTTATAGGACAAATCAATAACATTAATGAGTGCTATTGGGGAATAGAACAGATGTTAAATGAGGCCTTTGTTTGCATCATGATTAGAACAACTAACGGACATTTTAAAGAATCAGGAAAATATAAGTATGGACCAGACATTAGATGACACCCTGGGATTATTTATTAGGTGTGATAATGGTAATGTGGTTATATAAGAAAAGTCTGTTGTTTTTAGAAATGTATACTGAGATATGCTAGGGTGAAATGACATGATCTCTACAATTTTTTAAAAAATAAATAGAAAAGAAACAGGTGATGCAACCATGAAAATATACAGATAGCTTTTGAACCTTGGTGATGGCTGTTAGGAGTTCATCAACTTTTCTTCATGTGTGCTTGAAAAATTTTCATAATTAAAACAAATGACCTTATTGTTTATGTAGCCAAAAGAGTTGCCAAACCAAGGTTTTAATCCCAGTCTCTCTGACTCCATAGTCTATGCTAGTGGTCTGAAAACAATGGCCTTAGCCTATTTTGTACACTGTCTTTTTGGAACACAGCCATGCCTGTGTATGTACGTATTGTCTAAGGCTGCTTCTGTTCTACAATGGTAAAGTTGAGTAGCTGCTCCAAAGTCTTTATTGGCTAAGAAAGACTAAATATTTACGATGTGGCCCTTTACAGAAAGTTTGCTGACCCTGATTATGTAAATTTACATATGTTCTTTCCATTATACTGCAGTTTCAAGGCAGTTTCCTTCCAACTAATCCATGCTTAGTGTTCACCAACACATTGTCATTATTAAGGTTATAAAAGACATATCTTTGTTCATTGTACTTGATAGGGACACTTTAGCAATTTAATAATATTTAGTTAGACTTCACTATCATGTGTAATTAGAACTTCATAGTTTTCAGGTTGCTTTGAGATTCTGTGACTAAGGACAGAAGAGATGTCATGGTCACTGATAAAGCCTGTGGGTGGTAAGACAATGGTGTCTTCTTTTTAGCTCCTTGCATCAGGAAATGTGAATGCAAAGGATGTTCTGTGTTTCTGCCCCAGGACGGATTTACTTCATGTGGGTGTAGGTTAGAGGCTGTGGGTGCAGCTGGCGTTGAGCTGGCTGGAAGAGTTTCGTGAAGGCTGGGCTCTGTCCAGGGCATTTTTGAAGGGTATTCTCTGTAGGGCCCTAACAGGCCAGGTTTCCCCAAAGCTTGTCCAGTTGCTTGTGGTTATTTGTTCTGCACGCAAGCTGGACACCTTGAAGCTGTCCTTATGTTGCTGTTCCTTAATTATAGCACCTTTACTTGCCCATTTCGTGCATTTTTAATACCCATTTCTCCTTCCAGAAGAAATTTAAGTAATTTGATGTGTTATTCAAGAGAACTTACCATGGGCCTAGGGGAGATCAGTTATTCTTTTGAAACCAGGATACCACATTATGCTTAATTATTCAATAGTTTTTGAAGTGTAATGAAGTGACATAAATAAATATTTGGCATATACCTGGTTTTCAAAATAGTTAAATTAGAAAACAACTTCACCCTAGTTTTTTGTGAAATGTGATCCCTAAATAGAAACTATTAAAAATATCTGGATAATTTCTTTGGTTTTTGTTTTGAAAATAATGATTGGGATCAATGCTACATAAAAGTAGCAGCATACATAAAACTACTTAAAAAATGTAATTTTAAAACACTAAAGAGATACAGCAATTCCATGCACTTTCATAGACTTTTATGAAGCAATTGAGATAGTTGTATTCATTGTTCTCTATATTTTAGTCAGAAGAGTTTATTCATAATTATAGAAATGTACACCTTTTTAATTTTTTACTACATTGTATATACGTGGTAGTATTTTTTCTCTGCCTTCACAGAGCAGATGTTTTTTGCTTTGATTCAGGGTTCATTCATTTTGCAGTATTTATTAAGCAGTTGCAGTGTGCCAGATAGGAATCTGTGCTGAAGACAGTGTGTTCAGGAAGACAGATGTTTCTTGTCTTTGTAGAACTTACACTCTGTCAGTCTTTTTTTTTTTTTAAGATTTATTTATTTTTATACAAGAACCGGGGTACAGGCCATATGTGTGGGAGGGTGAGAGGATTCACCAGAGACAGAGCGGGGAACAGAACAGGCAGACTGACTGAAATACACTGCTGAGGGGAGCAGTGGGCGAGACAGGAGAGGTCTGCTGCACCATGTGGGTATCTCCCTGGCCGGCCGGGATCAAACCTGCACTGCAGAGGCTACGGACAGCTTCACAGCGTTGCGCTCAACAACCTGCGTCACCAAGGAAGCCCTCTCTCAGAGTCTTTAGACTTCTATAGATCTTCTATTAAATGTTACAAGCTGAATTTCTTCAGATGTTACACCTAACATAAACCCTTATTCAAAGGAATCTGAAATTCAAACATCAGTGCCTCAATCACATTGTATTTTTGTAGTTGGTCTGCTGTGCATTTCTTCATACCTATATAATAAGACAAATCTTTGACTTTCATCTTTTTACAAATTTATTTCTTGTTTAATTTTGTTTCTGCTACTTTGAACTTTTTGCAAATCAACTTTGCTGTGTTTAAATGATTAAAGTGTCACCTGTTATTGCTGGTTTGTTACAGGTGCAGGAAGATTTGACTGAAGAGAAAAAAAGGGAATTAGAGCACAATGCTGAGGAGACCTATGGTGACAATGTATGTGAAGGGTCTAGGTTTCTATCTTGCATGCTCATACACATGCATGTGGAGATTTGCATGTGGAGCATATATATCTGAGGTGCAACTGAGTTTAGTGGGGCCACCGAGAGTTAGAGAATCTGGGGCAAGAGAAGATTAGGAAAGAGTAAATAAACTGTTGTCTAAAGGATCATTTTACTTCATTGCTTTCCTTTCTCCAAAAGTGATTAACTTTGCACTGTTTTTGTTTTTTTTTTTTTTTTTTAAGGAAATTATTCGTCCCACTAACTCTATGCCCTATCTCTTAATTTTTCTTTTTTTCTTTTAACCTGAAGGCTGATGATAAAAACAATGATGAAGAACAAGAAGTTCGAGATGACAACCACCCTAAAGGCCGAGAGCCACACTATGAGGAAGAGGAGGAGGAGGAGGAAGATGGGGCTGCTGTTGCTGAGAAGTCACAACGAAGAGCTGAAATGTAGCCGTGACCACTTTTGGACAATACTCAGCCAATGGATTCTTTTCAAGCTGCTCAAAATCAATCTGCCTACTGAACTCTAGGATATTTAATTACAAAAATTAATAATGTAGACTTTTTAAACTTTTTTATTAGAAATTCTCATACATTTATATGAATATTTTTTGATAACCTAGGTTTAGCGCTTCTTTTATATTCAATTTAACACGAACAAGAAGGAAAACAATAAGGGAAACCTTAGACTCAGAATCTCATTTTTCGTAGTTTATATGATACTGAAAAGGACATTGATTTTTATATGTTTCAACTTGTTATTTTTCATCTTGTTTCCAGGTATTCTGTTGTTTGCCTTTGAAAAAGTACAGGATTTTAAAACAGAATGTCGTTAAATGATGTGTAAACTTTAAGGAGAATGGCTGGTTTACTAATTCCTGCCTTTCTGAGGTTCTTGTATAAAGTTCTAATGGAATTTTCACCAGTCACTGTATCTTTGGAAGATCTGTGTGCAGAATAACATGATTGAAAAGGCATTTGTGTAATAAAAACATTTTCAAACTTTTTAAGTCAGGTAGGGAGAGGTCTGGCTTTACTTAAAGTCAGCTATTTTTGAAAGGAATAAAGTTTAAAGTTAAGAGTACTAAACCTCATGTGACAGTGTTCTGGACTTAGATATTTCAGTATTCAAATAAGATATGACACATCAGTGCATTAACTTTTCTAAAGGATTGACACCTTGTTTAATAATTCCATGTGTGTGGATGATGTTTCTATTCAGTATCCATTCTGAGTACTTGTTCTAGAGTCATATCTTTGTTTCAGTTCTCCACAGTAATGTTTTCTCTGTTAGCTCTGTGCCTCAATATGTAATCATATTTTGATGACAAATATAAAATCTTACCAAACTGTATAATTGATTGGAATGATTTTTTGAAAACTACATGGTCAGATATACTTAGTGGTGTGATAAACCCATCACTTTCTTTTTCACTTGATTGGGTTTGCATAATGCCTGTGTATAAGGGATATTGATGATCACAAAATTTTTTAAATCCCTTAAAGGAATTTATAATTAAAAACTTGTCTTGGGAAAGAGACAGTTCAGTCTCAAGCATAATGATATTTAAATATATAGAATTAGGTTATATAATTCATATTCCATAGTTTTATAATAATTCTCTCAATTCAGAAAAACAAACTTCAATTTCTATCATTGTTGTATGAATGTAATTTTAATTTTTAAATAACCACACTAGTGTATGGTTTTAATTATCCTAGTTGCATAATTGTGTATGTATGCATATGAATGTTTTGTTCAAATGTATTTTGGATTTTCAATCACAAATCAAATCTTAACTTTTATGTATAAAAATCCTTTATGTAATGTAAAATGTATAATATTGTACATAATGTTCAGATTACAATTATTTTGGTGAATTAGTTTGTATTTTTAATGTTCCAGTTGCAGTATTTAATTATTTGAAACACATTGAAACTTGATAATAGTCAATAAAGCTATAAAAGCAAATGGAAAATCTTTCCAAGTATGTTATTTCTTATTACTTTCTGATCTTGTAACATTCTTCTGTTGTTTTTTTAAAAAAAGGAAAAATTGTAGGAGTTATCAGTATATATGAATGAATTATAAAGTGCCCTTCCCAACTTATTCCTATTTTCCTTTCTATAATTTCCTTATCTCTTTCTCTACTTATTTTTGTTTGAGCTAGTTCTGAGGAAGAAAAAAGAAATAGGTACAGAAAATGTAAGAGAGTGCCATGTATACACACTAAATATAAACAAAAAAATCCAAATTCCCCCCTATAAAAGCAACATCTCAAACCATGTCACTTTGTATGGCACCAAGTCATAAGGCCATTTTAACTGTTTAGAGAACTAATCAATCTGAGCTAATCTACATTAATGACATGAGCACAAATGTTACATATATTTGTCTTGTAAGTTATTCTGTGGCTCTTGGTGCAACCGATAAAGGATTTGGTACCAGTGACACAATCCACAGAAAAAGGCATATTTATTAAGTATAATAGGCACAGAAATTGTGCAAATTGTACATTAGCACAAATGTAATGATTAGGGATTTGCAAGAATGAACAGGAAGGAGTATGTGACTAGAATCCACTTTTTGCTTCTGGTGCTTACTTAAGATTAATGGACTCCCTCTCCCACAGTGGAAGAATTTTGTCCTCCTGGAGGATTTGGCATTGTTTAACTGTTTTGAGTTCTATTTGTTTTGTTTTTCTTTCTCTTGTTAATTTGGGGGGCTGGACATGTTGCGCAGTCATTTGAAAAATGAAAACAGTTTCTATTCCTAAATCATTTTCAGTTGACTTTTGAAGCCACATTGATCCTAATTTTCCTTAGGATCCTGGCTACTTTCTCAGTCTTTTTGAAAGCTTTCTTAGGCTGCACCTTTAATATTAATGTCTTCAATTTTTGTCCTGGAAAACTTTTCCTTGTTTACCCCTCTTCCCATCCATATCTTAGACACATTTTTTAATGTATTGCTACCCTAACTTTCTCTGCCTCATCCTACTTCAGATTTATAATTTTCCAAAACTGAGTTAGCCATTTCTCTCACCTAAAATCTTTATCTCTGCCTAGGTACTGTATCTTAATTCAGTAAGTTTCCCAAAACAGAAGCAGTGCGTCCTTGGTTCTATCTTCTTGTCCTATCCATATGCCAAAATAGCTTTAAATTTGCCCATTTCTTTCCATCCTTGCTATCCTGGTTTGGCACCTGTTACACATTCCCTGGAAAACTGTTATAAGTCCCTTAACTTCTCATTTACTCTCTCCGAACAATGCATAAACGCTGTCAGTATGATCTTGTAAAGATCACACTAACATTAGCACATAATAAACTTAATTAATAAATGATTGCACATGGGAAAAATTTGAAACTCAACAGGACCTCCATAATTATCATCTGGCCCACATTACCTCTTCAGCTTTACAATTCATATAATTCATACTAAATGGGACTCCTCTTTGCATATATCTCTCCCAATATCTTAGTCACCAACTTCCACCCCTTTCTTTTGTGTGGAAACCTGATTTAAGCAAAGCCAATACTATTACCCTTTATCTATTGGCAGAGTGCTTGATCCAAGATAGGCACTTGACCCAAGGCACGTCAGTTAAATTCCTTCCCTGGTATTCTGTGTTGCAGGTCAAATCTCCATGGCATTTACTTATTTTGTGATGGCTTTTATCCTGCACTATCTTCACAAATATACTTGCCTGCAAACAAGAGGTAAGGGTATTTTTGTTTGCATCACACAATTTAGGTGTATGTTTCTACACAATACCAACCACCAGGCGTGAAAAGTCCTCTACCATAGGTCCATTGTTTCCCCTATACATTTTGCTCTTCCACCTCCCCATGTGATAACTTCAATTTCACAGTGACATTTGTAGGGTTTGTTACAGGTTTGGTTTTATCTAATCCATTGTTTCGTTTCTCGATATGTGAAGCCACATAGTGTTTGTCTTTCTCCTTTTGACTTATTTTGCTTAGCATAATCCTGTTCAGTTCTGTTCATGTATGGCAAAAGGCAAGAATTTACCTTTTTTTTAATTGCTACGTTATATTCCATTTTGTATATATACCACATCTTCCTAATTCACTCGTCTGTAGTTGGGCACTTAGGTTGTTTCCATAACTTGGTTATTACAAATAGTGCTGCAATGAACATAAGAGTGCATATACCTTTGAATTAGTGTTTTTACATTATTCAGATAGATACCTAGTAGTGGAATTGTTGGATCATATGGCAGATGTATTTTTAATTCTTTGAGAGATATCCATACGATTCTGTAGGGGCTGTAACAGTCTACGTTCACACCAACAGCCTAAGTGGGTTCCTTTTTCTCGCCTTCAACACTTCTGTTTCTTGTCTTTTTATTATGGGCCATGCTCATAGGTGTGAGGTCGTATCTGTGGTTTTGATTTGCATTTCCTGATGATAAATGATGATGATCAATTTTTTACATAACCTTTTGGCCATTTGTATGTCTTCCTTGGAGAAGTGGCTACTAGGATCATCTGTCCATTTTTGATTGGGTGATTTGTTCTATTTTTGTTGAGTTGTGTGCATTCTTTTGGGATCACAGATATCATCTCCTTGTCAGATGTATGGTGTACAAATCTGTCCTCCCCTCGAATGGGGTGTATTGTTGTTTTAGTGGTAGCATTTTTCACTGTGCAGCTTTTTATCTCAATGTAGTCCATATTTACACTCTCTTGTTTCTCTTGCTTTCGGAGATGAATACTCAGACATTGCTGAAGTCTATGTTGTGGAGCGATTTTATTTACCTTTCTGTTTTCTTCTATGTACCTTATGGTGTTAGGTCTTACATCAAAGTTTTATCCATTTTGAATTAATTTTTGTGAATGGTAGGAGACAGAAGTCTAGTTTCAATCTTTTGTATGTGATTGCCCAGTTATCCCAACACCATTTATTGAAAAAAAATTCATTTCTCCAAAGTATACTCTTGGTTTCTTTGTCTTAGATTAATAATTATCCATATACATGTGGGTTTACTTCTGGGAATTAAGTACACAAGCAGGGAACATATTTTCATTTCTTTGAGTCTTCTGTTTCTGTTAACATTGTCTCATAGTTTTCCTTGTACAAGACTTTGGTCTCTTTTATTAAGTTTACTCCTAAGTATTTATGCAATTTGATGCAGTTATAAAAGAGATTGCTTTCTTGACTTCTTCCCCTTCTAACTTGCTTGCATATGGAAACATGTGATTTTGTAAATTGATTTTGTAACTGCTCTTGCTATACTATTTATTGTTTCAATTAGTTTTTTTAAATGAAGTCCTTAGTGATTTCCATGTGTATTATGTTATCTGCAGACAGTGTCAACTTACTCCTTCTTGAATTCCAATTATATCTTTATTACCTAATTGCTCTAGTAAGGGCTTACAATAATATACTGTGTGATGGTGTTGAAAGTTGATGTCATGTCTTTTTCCAGATCTTAGCAAAAAAATTTCAGCTTTGCATCATTGAGAATGTGTAAGAGCTGTGTGTTTGTCATAAATAGCCATTACTATGTTGAGATAAATTCCATCTATCCCCATTTTTTGATGAGTTTTTATCATATATGGAAGTTGAATCTAATCAAACGCTGTTCTACATCTAAGGATAGGATCGTATGATTTTTATTTTTCCTTCTCTTGATTAGGTGATTTATGCTGATTGATTGTTGAATGTTGAAATATATTTGTGCCCCTGGAATAAATCCCACTTGGTTGAATTTATTGTTGAATTCTGTTTGCTAAGATTTTTATGTTTTCTTTGTTGTGGTGTCTTTGCCAGGTTTTAGTATCAGGGTAATTTTGGACTTAAAACGTGTTTAGAACTATTCTCTGTGTCTGAAAATTTTGAAGGTTTTGAGAAGGCTTGGTAGTGAAACCATCTGGTCCTGGGCTTTTTTTTTTTTGAGGGGGGGGTTATGGGGGCTCTTTTGATGACTGTTTCAATTTTCTTGCTTGTAATTGTCTGTTTTGGTTTTTTATTTCTTCCTGATTTAGTCTCAGATGGTTGTATATTTCTAAGAATTTGTGCATCTCTTCTAGGTTATTCAACTTACTGGCATGCACATGTCATTGTAATCTCTTATGAATCTCTGAATTTCTGAGATGCTTTTTGTAACTCCTCTTTTGTTTCTGATTCTATATGTTTGCGTTTTCTCCCTTGTTTCTTTGAGAGTCTAGCTAAAGGTATGTTGTTTCTCTTCTTTTCCTCCTCCTCCTTTTTTTTATATAGCTCATACTTTCTGATCTCAATTTCATTTGTCTTGAGCAATTTTTTAACTTCTTTGCTTTCCTCATTAGCCCAATAATCATTCAGTAGTGTGTTGATAAATCTGCACTAATATGTTGTTCCTGCTATCCTTTTGTGGGTGATTTCTAGTTTGATACTATTGTGATCTAAGAAGTTGCATGATTTAATCATCATGAATTCATTAATACTTCTTTTGTGACTCAATATGTGGTCTGTACTGGAGAATGTCCCACGTGCCCTTGAAAAGAATGTGTTTTCAGTTCTTTGGTGGTGCTGTGACCTACAAATGTCTTTTAAACCCATGTGGTCTAGTTATTTGTGTAAGGCTATTGTTTCTTTGCTTATTTTCTGTCTGGTTGATCTGTTCATTGCGAAAGTAGAGTGTTAAAGTTGCCCACTATTGTGTTCCTGCCAATATCTGTTTTCAGATTTTATGTTATTGCCTTATATATTTTGATGTTCCTTCATTTGGTGAATATATATATTCAAAGATTTATTTTATTCATTTAT